CAATATGGGGTCCGTGGGGCTCCACTTATGGGTCAGTGGGGGTTATGGGGTCTATGGGGCTCCACTATGGGGTCTACTGGGCTCCACTTATGAGATCCATGGGGCTCCACTTATGGGGCAGTGGGGCTCTGGTTATGGGGCAGCGAGGCTCCACTTACGGGGTCTATAGGGCTCCATTATGGGGTCAGTGGGGCTCCGGTTATGGGGTCTATAGGGCTCCATTATGGGGTCAGCGGAGCTCTGGCTATGGGGCTGGCGCTGGCCAGCCGTGCCATAGTGCAGCTCTACTTATGGGGCTCAGACCCCGCTGTGGGGCTGCCCCACACGTTGCTGCTGTGCCCCACACGTCGCTGCTGTGCCCCACAGCTGTACCTGGGCATCGTGCTGGCCGCCGTCGTCATCATCACGGGCTGCTTCTCCTACTACCAGGAGGCCAAGAGCTCCAAAATCATGGAGTCCTTCAAGAACATGGTGCCTCAGGTGGGGCTGGGCGCTGTGGGGCAGCAGTGGGGCGGGGGGTGGGTGTGGGGCTGCTGTGGGGCTGGGCGGTGTGGGGCAGCTATGGGGCAGGGGGTGGGGATGGGCTGCTGTGGGGCTGGGTGCTATGGGCAGCTATGGGGCAGGTGTGGGGCAGCTGTGGGGCTGGGTGCTGTGGGGCAGCTATGGGGCAGGGGGTGGGGTTGGGGCTGCTGTGGGGCAGCTGTGGGGCTGGGCGCTGTGTGGGCCCGTCGGTGGGGCAGCCCCACAGCGTGGCTCCCGCAGCAAGCGCTGGTGATCCGCGAGGGGGAGAAGATGCAGCTGAACGCGGAGGAGGTGGTGGTCGGCGACCTCGTGGAGGTGAAGGGTGGTGACCGAGTCCCGGCGGATCTGCGCATCATCTCCGCGCACGGCTGCAAGGTACGGCGCCCCACAGCGCCGCCACACGGCGCCACGCCGTACTGCGCCCCATAGCGCTGCCCCGTAGTACTGCCTTATAACACTGCCCCACAGCGCCGCCACACGGCACCACGCGGTACTGCGCCCCATAGCGCTGCCCTATAGCACTGCCTCACAGCGCCGCCAAACGGTGCCAGGCGGTACTGCGCCCCGCGGCGCTGCCCTATAGAGCTGCCCTATAACACTGCCCCACAGCGCCGCCAAACGGCACCAGGCGGTACTGCACCCCACAGCGCTGCCCCGTAGTACTGCCTTATAACACTGCCCCACAGCGCCGCCAAACGGCGCCACGCGGTACTGCGCCCCACGGCGCTGCCCTCTAGAGCTGCCCTATAGCACTGCCTCACAGCGCCGCCAAACGGCACGAGGCGGTACTGCACCCCACAGCTCCGGGCGGTACTGCGCCCCACAGCGCCGCCCCATAGCGCTGCTCTATAGCACCGCTGCACAGCGCCGCCCCCTGGTGCCGCGCGGTACTGCACCCCACAGCACCGTCCTACAGCGCCACCCCACGGCACCCCGCGGTACTGCGCCTCACGGCACCACCCCACGGCGCTGCCCCACACAGACACCCCCCCCCAATTCCCCCCACTTCGACCCTCCCCCTGCCCCCCCCCCCAGGTTGACAACTCCTCCCTGACGGGCGAATCGGAGCCGCAGACGCGCTCCCCCGACTGCACCCACGACAACCCGCTGGAGACCCGCAACATCACCTTCTTCTCCACCAACTGCGTCGAGGGTCAGCGGGGGGTGGGGGGGCGGCCGTGGGGCAGCTGTGGGGCCGGGGGGTTGGGGGGTGGAGGGGGGAGAGGTGAGGGTCTGCAGGGAGGGGCTGTGGTGCGG